ATTTAGTGTGGACAAATGGCCCTGTAAATTCTCAGGTCCCTGTATCACTGATGTAGAATAGCAATGGCTTTGAGCCATTTTTTAAAAACTTAAATTAGGTTTCCAGAAAAGCAGAAAAAAAAGAATTAGGGGTTTAAGGGCATAAGCTTCCATTATTTCACTAAACTCACTGCTCTAGTTTCTTACAATACTTAGTATAAAAATGAGGCATTATTATGCCTGGCTTCCAAGAAAGACACCTTCCCCCATGAATAACTTTCTTCACATAGTGGGGGCATCAGTACATAAGATAACATTCATAATGTAACTGAACAATGTTGTTCCCTTCAACTAGTCAATATCAGGATATTAAAAACTATAACAATGGTAAGCAAGTAAGTTATGACCTGAAGCAAAAGATGTGGTCACAAACTGACTACAATTCAAGGCAGTCACAGCTTTGCTGCTAAAAAGATCTAAACACAAATAAAATGAATGGTTTCAAATCATGTAAGTTCATTTCATGCCTCCAGGTTTTTCTGAGACCGAGACAAATTTGTAGTGTTATTTTTTCAATAGATTTTATGCATTACATAGTAAATGTTTAACTACTTTCAATTGGTATTATATTTAAGAATTTTTCCAGAAATATTTGAATGATGGGCAAAATTTTCTTTATTAGACCACTTGTTGTAATTGTTAGATATACGTAATATACACCTACAGCTTCTGCATTTTAATATTCCCAGCTTTTTACTAAAACGGACAAATCACAGAATTTTTTAAAAGTTACTTTTCAAAGGAACTTCTATTGACATAATTATTAAAGACTCATTTTCTTTTCCTTACCATATACCATATTTTCTCCATACTTGGTGTTAATCTAAAATTCTCAGCAGATGCACTAACAAGGGATAGCACATGATAAGAGAGATACCAGATTGCTACATTCTGTTCTTTAGATGAATGACTATACTTCATTAAAGTTTCTTCTAATAACCATGGCCAATATTAGAAGTCATGAAACCCATTTACTTATTATCATTTTAACATGTCAACATTCCTCAAAATTCCATCTGTAACTAGATAAAATGCCAAATGTTCTGAGGGTTACAGAATCCAGAGGGTTACAATTTGTCCAGTCTAGATAGAAATGATACTTATAAAACAATTTAAGATCTCACTAGCTTTTTGTTTTATTATTAGCAACTACAATCATCTCTCTCTTATTCCTTAATGCAGCCAATTTTTCTAAACAAAATTCACATATTACATTATTAGCTTTGTTAAACTTTATCTTAGTGTTTTTCCTATTTTATCGTTAATCCCAGAAATATTTTATAAGATATTCAACATTTTAACCATCCTAGTTTTTCTGTCATTTGCAAATGCAATAACATCACTTCTATATCTTCTTTCAAGCCATTTATGTAATTATTAGGCTAACTCAGGGAACAGAACCCTATAAGATGACCCCTAGAGAGCTGGGGTATAGAGCATAGCATGCAAAAGGCCCTGGGCTCCATCCCCAGGATAAAATAAAAATAAAAAATAAGAATACCACTGGGATTCCCACACAGGCTGACATCCATTTCAATAATTTGTTCATCTTAAGCATTAAAAAATATTTATTAACATCTATTAAAGAGCATCTACTTTAAAATCACTTTTAGGAGGCAGTTTTATACACTTCTCTAAGTTACTTTTTTTTTTTTTTGGTACCAGGGATTGAACTCAGGGCCTTGCTTTTGCAAGGCAGGCGAGGTGCCGCTAAGTTAAATCCCCAGGCCTTAAATGCACTTTTAAAGGCACTGGGGATGTTGTTAATAGATCTTGTCTCTAACCTCATGGTGCTTACAGAGCTCTACAAATAATTAAAATATTCAAAATAAAGTATGATAAAAATTATAAGTAAAATGAGAGTCTATAGCTGGAAGGACAACCTGGTATGAGAAACATACAAATGAATATTCTTCAATGTAGTAATTTATTTATCATCTGGCAATATTTTCTCCTTTATTCCACAAGGACATCATGTAAAGTAACCTCAAATGCTTTCCTTAATCAAGATACACCATATCTAGAACCATGGCTGGCAGATAATAGACCCATTTTTAAAGAGTGTTTGTGACATTCTCCAGCAAAGTAAAATTTAAGCCAATTTTTTCTAAGAGACTCAAAATTTTAAAATACATATTTTTAAGCTTCAGCAGTTTTATCAATTGCAGAGATAAAACAATCCAGTCAACTTATTTCACTCTTTTCTCTTTCCCAGAATAGTTACCCAATTGGAAAATATTTTTTTTAAATCATTTGGTAATCTATTCTAGAGTTCTGCCAGATTTAAAGACAGTGATTTATAGCAGTGCTTAAAAAGTAAACACAGTAATTTACAGCATTATTCTCAAACTTTAATGTACACACAAATCATCCAGAGTTCTTGTTAAAACAAAGATTCTAATTCAGTAGATCTGCTGTGAGATCTAAAATTCTGCATTTCTAACAAACCCTTAGGTGATGTCCATGTTCTTGTTGGATGTAACACACTTTAAATAGTAAGGATTGGTAGAATTCATCTTTCCTTTACTTCGATAATTGGGATAACATCTGCCTATCTCTTGGCTGGCTCTTTTTCCATTTCTCACGAGTTGTTAAAGTTAAAAAATGAGTATCTTAATTACAATTGTGATAACACTTACAATTTTTTAAATTTCAATACTCTGAAGTGAACTTCATCTTGACCTGTAAACAGGACTAGCCTCGACTTATATAACTATTGTTCTCTTGCTGTCTTCATGGCTACCATAAATTACACGGCCCTTAGTCTTAATCTTTTTTAATCCTTTCCAATTGGATAACTACTCTCTAGGGAAAGAAGTGAACTAAAAGTTGGTTGGGCTTGTTTTATCTCTGTGACCGATAAAAGTGCATCACCTAGTCCAAAAGCAAACAGAAAAATTAAATCACCAAAGATATTCAACAAGTTAGCAGCAGCATCAGACTAAAAGCTAGGACTCCTGGTTGCTTTCTTATTATAATAGCTCAAAGCAGAATTGAAATCTGTAGTTTCCTATTTCCTTGATATCATTTAGTCCACTGTGCCTTTTCCTCTACTTCAATAAACAATCAGGCCGGGATGTAGCTCAGCGGCTCAGCACCTGCCTGGCAAGCTTGAGGCTCTGAGTTCAATTCCCAATACCAAAAAAGAAAAAAATAAACAATCATCAAAAAAAAAAACTTTAGTATTTCCCTTAGTTATTAAAATACATGTTAGCAGACTCAGAATATATTTCAATTTTGTTATTACTAATACTAAAAGCAAAAACAAGAAAAACTTGTAATAAAACCTAATAACGAGTAATATTATTATGTTGTAAAGGCTCATTTTATATTGCTGAATTTCAATGAAAGAAGAGGAGGAGGTGGTGATGGGAGAGGAGAGGTGGAATGATGATAGACGTAGTTCAAACAATGCTACTCAAAGATTGAAATATGACTTTTAATTTATTGTACATTTTATACATATATTTTTTAAGTTTTTGATCATTTAAAATAGAATTCTTACACAATTATTTTGTCTTATTCGTGGTATTATAATGACTCCTCCCAAGAAATACAAACTATTAACAGTCTTATCCATTTCCAAAAAGCTCAAAGTTGAGAAAAATTGTCCTAAATCAATTAGTCACCATTTTCAGTACAGTCCTCAGCATATAAGCATGTAAAGGATAGCAAGTAATGGTGAAAAGTAGTTCATTAAATCATTCGATTAGGCCAAGGCCACTTTTAATTAAAACCTCCAGTCAGAATCTAGAATCCTAGGGAGCTGACAGATCAAGAATACTGGTATCTTTCCCATTCCCGGGGTGGGGTGGGGGGGAATAGAAGTTCCTAATCTAATAATCTAATTCCCTGGGCTTCCCTATTCCCCTCCCACTTAGGTCTCATACTCATTTTTCTTCTAGATACCTCAGATATGTTTTTAGCTGGTAATTTCTTCAGCTTCCTCTACTATGGGTTACACACTGTTTTCATACTGCCCAATTAACATCAGTTTAACTGGTGAGAGATGAAAAGTAACAGGATTCATGTGGCTTCTTTTTTTTAGAAGAGAATCAGCTGAAAGACAGGGCTGGGTGGTCTGTTCTCAGCTCTGCCAGTGAGCACTGTGTAAGCTTGGACAAATAACTGAAGCTACAGTTCAGCTGAATGGGTGGTCATCAGGGACAAATGAAGCAATGTGTGAGTGGCAAAGATAACAGAAACAACTGGTGTACTATGAAGGGAGTGGACACAAAAGACCATGCCACTAAATGGCTATATTATCTTGGGCAACTCTGTTTATCTTTCCTCATGTACAAAATGGGAATAGTGTGCCATACCTGTCTCAGATGTGTTCTTTTGACAACAGACTAAAATAAAAATTGTAAAATGCCTGACATAGGCTATCAATAAATGATTACTACTTAAAAACACTATACAAATTTAAACCCTAAAATTCTGTAGAAAAGTTTTTTTAAATGCAAACTACACAGAAGGAACTAAGGCAAAGAACCCAAAGTATAATAACATTCTATTTTCCCTTGTCTAAGATTTATTCTCCTTTTCCCTCTTCTCTTTTCTTGTTTCTAATATAAAACCATAGAAGAAACTCATTCTCAGTGTACATTTAGAATCAATACTATGAATTTGACTTTAAGGCTAATAAATTACTACTACAAATAACACACCTGCAGGGTTTTGTTTTGTTTTGTTTTTGCAAGTGAATTTTAAAAGTTTCAACATTAATGTTTGTACATTAATGAAATTTTTTTAAATGTAGTTACACTGGCTTGTGTGAAACTTATGTTATTAACCTGTATTTATGTGCTTATGGAAATGGAAAACGTTTTTATCACCAAACCACATCATGAAATCAGAGAAAGTGGGCAAGACAGAGAACAAGAGAGACAGAAAGGAAAAGAGAGAAGACATTTGTGTTGAGAGTAAATCTAAGAAATCACAAATAGCCTTAACATTACCATCCAGGAAAGTCTGTTCAAGATAATCAATGATCTGAGTGGCCTCACAAATTATGTTTTCCCCGTGGATAAGGACAGGCACTTCTCCAGTTGAGTTCAAACGCATAAACCAAGGCTCATTGTGCTCACTCAGGGGCAGACTTACATCATGTTCCTCGCACTTCAGTGCCTTTTCAGCAATTACCAAGCGCACCTGGAAAAGTTCACACAAGTTACTATAGCTCCAGTAAGTTTTCAGTTCAATGACTTCCCTGGATTAACATTTTTAACATTCTTTTTAAGGATTTATGTTCCTAGAATGAACAAGTGAAATATAGTCTAGTCTTTTTCTTAAAATTAGAAAAAAAAACAGGGCCAGGGATTTAGCTCAGTGGGCCGCCTGCTGCGCAAGCTCAAGGACCCGAGTTCGATTCCCGGTACAAAAAAAAAAAAATTAGAAAAAAAAAATAGGTAATGAAGATGATTCTAGCTATATTCATTACACATCACCCTCCCGCTACCACCACTTTCTTTGGGTCCTAAACCTAACTCCGCGTCTTTCCCAGATAAGAATGTTAGACCTTGCTCAGGAGAGTGAACACGAACAAGAAAGGGTAAATAAAAGAAGGAACGTAGGTTAAGCGGTTGCACGGCCTGACTTTGCAGGGCCCAGTGAGCCAGGAAGGAGGCCAAATACTGAAAGTGATGTTTTTTTGTCGCATTACATGAGTGGCAGTGCCTGGGCCAAATCCTTTCCAGCTGAGACGGATTCTCCCCGCTCCCCAGCTAGAAGTAATCTCTGTCTTGGAAGGGGCGCTCGCCCGCCCGCCCGCCCGCCACGTTGGCATCCTGGGTCTCGTCCCGCGGGAGCTGTCCGGGTGCTGAAACTCGCTGCTCGCTGCCCTCGGCAACCGAGGGCTTTACCTTTTGAGAACTGAAGGAATGCGTCCAGTGATACAGAATGAGCTTAACCTCCGCGTCGGCCTTGCCTTCCGCCCTCAAGGGCGCGCCCGCTCGCGGCTCTTCCTGCCTCCGAGCCATTTGGGACGAATTTGGGCCGAGAGATTTTGCCAGTCTGCCCTGCGCTTTTGGCACCCACCCGCGCAGCTCCGCAGAGCGTCTTCGGGTTTTCCCCGACGCCTCTTACGGCAGCGATGAGGACGAAGAGGCCTCTGGGAAGTGTAGTTTCACTGGTGAGAAAGCTGCGCGGGGAGGAAGAGTCTGCGCCCTGGAAATGCCCGGGCGCAGGAGTCAATTGGAAAATGCTACTGGATATTTTCTTTTTAGGGGAAAAAATTTCTAAAATATGAATTCCTGGTTATTTGGGTGAGACAGTTAGAAATGGTGACAGCAAATAACTCATCTGCTTTGGAGACTGAGTATAAAGGCCGCAATTTCCCAAGATACTTATGCCTCTTCCTTTAGTGGAAAAGAAGTTCCGGTGGGCAGACAAAGCAATAGGTTAGGGACCAATTAGTTTTCATTAGACGATACTACTATGGAGTCATGAAAGAAAAAAAAAACCTCATAAACAATGACAGTATAAAATAGCCCGGTTGTAAACAGAAATTTCAGAGCAGAATGGCTTCTGGTTATCTCTCAGCTTTTCCATTTTCTCCATTTTCGAAGTAGAGATCATTTTATTTGCCTAACAAAGTTTTAATGAGAATTGAATAAGTAAATAAAATATTAAACACTAAAAACATCCTGGCATGTTGTAGGCAAACAATATTATTCACGAGTTCAGCTACCTTATAAACATTCTCTTTATAACCATGGTCAACCATAATGTCATACCAGTGTATTCTTATTTTGTACTTCTTAAAATTTGCATCATAATAAGTTGATATAACTCCTCTTTCATCAATTACATATAAATATGACCATGAAATAAGTGTCTGCATAATTCATGCAGCAAAAAAAATTTGACCATGAAATAAGTGACTGCGTAATTCATCCAGCAAAAAATATTTGAGCACTTACTATGTTCCAGGCATTTTTCTAGATCGTGGAATTTAGAAAGGTGTGCAAGATCTGACACCTACCACCAAAGATATGTCTGGTGGCAGACATTAAATAGTAAATAGACAGCCACAATAAAATAAGAACTGTCTTATGGTAAACACATGAAAAATAATATACTTAGGGCAAATACTGTGAAAGACAAAGGGATGACAGCCAGCCCATGCAGGAAGCTCCTTGAAAAGACAAAAATCTCTAAGGTTCTTCCTCCCCTTTACAGTACTTCTTTTTTGTTGGTGTTCTGTATAAATATTTATAATGTTTAAGTATTTTATAATGTCTTCTTATAGCCTTGGGTTAATGTAAATGCTACAACAAAAGTGATCTCCTTGCCAAATTTGTTATCAGCTCATTTTTTAAAATGGAGACTGAAGGTCCGGGGATTTAGCTCAGTGGTTTCGCCGCCTGCTGCGCAAGCGCAAGGACCCAAGTTCAATCCCCGGTACCAAAATAATAATAATAATAATAATAATAATAATAATATAAAATGGGGACTGAATACCACTTCTGAACCAGGCCAAGCAAGAGCTCTACTACTGTGCTATGCCCCCAGCCCCGTCAGTTTGCTCTTAAAAGTAGAAGAGGAAAGAGCAACACTTTTAAATCCAACAGAGTGGGCTTCAATTCTACCTCCACCCCTAGCTTGACCTCACTTCAGCCTTTACTTCATCTTTTGTAAAATATGAATCTGCAAAAAATATATGCTCACCCAGACTGCTGTGGGAATTTAATGAGAGAAAGTGTATAAAGCACCTCGGACATCGCAGAAAATCATAGATAATGAACATATGTGTGTAAAAGCCATTCCACTGAAGTCCTCTGAGTAGAGGACATCATATGACACTTAATCTTTTCTCTTTATGCCTCAAAATGTGTACAACTATAGTACTATGACAATTAATCCTGATATGCCAAATTCACTGCATTAAGAAATTCCTGGAGTAGTAAAGCACACTCCTGCTATGTCTAGGTGGCTCACGGAGGCTTGAGCACTATATATGGTCCCTCTCTCCTTCCTCTCTGGCACTGTTCCCCTGCTCTGCTTCCTGGTCACCACGAACTAAGAAGCTTTGTTCCTCTATGCCCTTCTGCCATGTTGTTTCTGCCTTGGAGCTGGCCTACCATGGTCTGAATGCCCTGAAACCACAGACCTAGTTTAACTTCTCCTCCTTTAAATTGTGGATGTCAGGCATTGTGGCCAGTGACTAAAAAGTAACTGTACCTCAATAATCCTCCTCTCCCATTCCTCTTCAGAAGAACTATGTTTTTAATTATCCAACTCTGGATTCCAACAAATGCTATATAGTTCCTTTTTCCTTAATTCACTAAATATTTGAAAAAGCTCAGCACTCTTTTTAGGCTATCTTGCAGCTGAAAGCCTGACAATAAAGCTCTGGTCCATCACTCAGAACTTTCTCCATCACATATTCTCACCAGCAAAACCAGACAGTGAATGTGGAGTGAACTGATAGATTACTATGTAAGTAGTAATACATACTATTCATACATGCCATTGCCAATGTAAACATGTACAGAGTGTCTAAAGGGTAATATCAATATGCATCAAAAAAACCCTTTAAAATGGGCTTTTAAGGCCGAGGATTTAGCGCAGTGGCACCGCATCTGCCTCGCAAGTGCAAGTTCAATCCCCGGTACCAAAAAAAGGATGCTTTCTAACCTAGAAATTTCTGTTTAACTAAGGAAGTAACCGTATCAAACTTTGACACTTGGATCCTAAAAATCTATTTTCCCCTTCTTCTGTGGTTAACAGAAATCTTAGCTGAGCACTAGGATGCTGAGAATAAAGACTACATTTCCCAGACTCCATTGCAGGTATATTCTAACATATGGAGTGTCATGGATGTACAATGGAGCAAGTTCTGAGAATTTTCCTCACAGAGACAATCCTGTACCACTTCATCCCATCCTCTATCCTGCTCCCAGAAAAGCAGATGGTGAGTTGGAAGATGAGGAAGTGGGGTCCACATTCTAGAGATGGCTGAGTCATGAGCTGGGCGAGGATTTGGGCCTCTAAAGATGGTGGAGAGCAGAACTACTGTACCATCCTCAATCTGCAAACATTCACACTTTTACTTAAAAAAGAAATAAGGCATTTTGTATAAGGCAGTGTTATTTTGTGCTTTGCAGATGCTACTATCCTATCCTAATATGTCAGCTTTCTTAAACAGAGGTGGCTTTTATGTCTTTATGCTTCTGTAAACCCTGATTTTTTCTATAGTGTATACATGTTGCATCTGCCTCTTAAAGACATAAACATTAAAAGAATATCACTAAATAGATTAGATAAGGAACTGCTGTATCCACTCTCAATGATCTATAATCCCTTTTATTTTCCATCCTGGTAAAAGCCCTCTGTGAGTAATTAAAAAGATCTTATGGAGGGGTGAAGGGCGCACAGGTAATAGGGAAAAAATAAGAACCAGGATACATCATGTACAGGTACAAGCACCCAATGATAAATGTAAACGTACTGTATACCTAAAATGAACCAATAAAAGAATTTAAGCAAAAAAAAAAAAAAAAAGATCTTATTACTTGTAGGAACTAGCCTATGAGCTCAAACCTGACCAAGGGGTGACAAGGATGAAAAATAAAGAGACAAAGAAACAGGTTAAAATCTGAGGAGCCAGAGGGCTCATGTCTCCCTTCAACATAGAGCCCCAAATGACTGGTACACTTGGCTTTCATCAGACACGGGCACTAACGATTAGAGTTACACAGGATTCACCACCCTCCATGGTACTTCTCCAGGTAAACAATTAAACCTCTGGTGTTTTTCCTTTCCCTGCAGCATGTTAGCATGCTTGCATGCTCTCTTTCTTCTCAGTGCTCACTGAGGAGGTGAATTGGGCCTCATTCTTTCCATCTGGTCTCCCATAATTATTAACTCACATGTTTATTCAGAATGTCCATAAAATCGTCTGTGTATTTGGTGCCTATGTGTCTTTGTACATCATCACATTGGTAATTAATGTTTTCAATATACATTTATTGTGCCTGTACTTCTAGGCACTGAGTAGATGCAGAAGACATGGAGTTACAAGTTATAGTCACTGACCCTAGGGAACTCAAGTGTAGAGGGAGAGAAATGAAATTTCAGCACACTGTGGTAATTGTTCTGATATCTAGAAGAATGTGATAGGAATATAAATAAAGGTTCCTAACATAGATATGCTTCCCAGAAGAGGTGATAATCTTTATCATAAATCTTCCATACTAATGCAATTACCAATATACCCAGTATTGTGCTGTCACTGGCACATGATACTTAAATTTTCAGGAATTTTGCAAGCTGCATATTCAGTCCAGCCATTATTAAAAATTAAATCAAATCAAATTCCCTTTAACTAGTTTTAAAATGAAGCTAAAAGTACTCAGAGCTCATCGCTTTGTAATTATTTTGTGTATTACTATCTATACTCTTTGGAGTGTGTCTATTATACCCATCTAATGGAAATAGTATAAGGGTGTGCTTTTGTGTACCTCTTCCTAACTCCTGTTCAGTATGTTGTTAGTTTGAATGGTCATAGTATTTTTACCAAATCAGTAAATAGTATCAGTAAATTATAATATGTTTGTTTTTTCTAGAGATTTGGTTGTTAAGCATTTATCAGCATATCTCTGAATGTATTGATCTTAGTATTTAAACAATTGTTTTGATGATGATAATAATCAGGAGAAATATAGGTAATATGGTAATTATGAGTAAATGTGCATATAAATCTGCTTTTAATACCTGTTTCTGTCCCAACAAGCTTTCATTCTACTTCTTTCTCCATTTCTCAAACACCTAATACCTTTAGTGCCTTCCACTTCTTTACTGTGTTTAGAAAGAAAATGGGTGTACACACATCTCTCTGTCCACTATCAAACACTTAGCACTTTCACTAGCACATCTTTCCAGTGGGAAAATCATGAGCTAGTAAACTGCATGTGCTACATCACTGCACTTGTGTTTAATATTAATGTATAAGCTAGAATATTTGCATCGGAAGGTAACAAATCACATCCTTACAGTCTCCTTTGGTTTTCATGACAGCCTGTGAGATAGCTATCATCCCCAATTGCTAGTTGAGAAAATGAGGTTTA